ATGAAGCAAAAAAGGCTTCTCTCTGATTGGCTGGTTTTCTGTTACAGCTATTCGCAACGGGCGCGAACCGGCCCGGGTTCGATTCCCGGCCAATGCATCCCTTTTTGAAATGGAATGGTAGTTTACAAATCCTGTTGTAGCTCATAGTGTCCCTCCTGACATGGATTAGGTGGTCACCCTAGTGGGGGGGTGTTACGTTACGTTGATTATTGTGTATGACGGTTTTGTTTTCTCGGTTTACGATTTCTCGCTTTGCCCCTTCTCTGTACTTCTGCCCTGGTTTTGTTTGCTTTCTGGTTTTCGATCTTTCGCCCGGTTTTTGGTTACGACTTTGCGCGCCCCTCGGACTTTACGCTTTGCTCTGTATGTGTGTTTCTGTATGTGTCTGGTGCGTAGGGAGTGGTTGCCGTTTGGGTTTTGATATATTTTGTGTCCACGGTTTTGGTTAGGGAGTAAGGTGTAGGTCTTGTGGTTACTGTGTTCCTTTGTTTTTACTAGTTCAGTTAGATTTGGGTTTCTTTCGGTAGTCGGGGTTTTGTTTGTTGTTTTGGCCATAATCACTCCTGAAGCTCTTGCACCAGGTTTGCTGTTCTGTGTCTGTCGCGTGTAAGTAAAATAAGAAAAAAATATAAAAAACATACCCCTTTGTCCACGTGTGTTCCCTTGTGCACCACACCCTGTGTTTCCCTTATTCCCATTCCCTTTCCCTTCCACTCTGTTACGCCCCAACCCTAGACTGGGGTTCGTAACAATCTGTGTCACCAGTCACGTGTTGCACTGACCAAGAGAACTTTAGTATTAAATTATACAATCTCAGGCAGAACCATAAATGATTTTTGTTTACAAAAGTAACATTTTTTTTAATTCAGAAAAAATGTCTTATTAGTACTTTGGTAGCATCAGAGGAGGCTTTCAGAGAGTCAGGTGAAGTCTGACTACAGTATTAATAAATTGCAATATTTTCCCACCCTTTGATCTATGGAACACTTCTTCTAGTACCCATCCACCACCATTTGCTCTCTCTCTCTCTCTCTCTCTCACACACACACATTGTTTGAAGTTCAGAGATCAGAGAAGATGTACAGCAGATTATAAATATCAGTATTTGTTTCATGATCATTTTCTTAAAGTACCTTCTTAAAACAAACCTAAAAATCTGTTCTGTTTTTCTTTTATGGTAGGTCAAGATGCACAAGAAAGTGGTGTTCACAGGGAAAATCCGTTTTGTGTTCCGCAAGGGACCACTCGGGTTTCTCCTGCAGGAGCCATCTGAAGAAGCCAGACGGACTAAGGACAACCCCACTCTGCAGGACAAGTCTGCAACCCTGAGGGAGGCTTTTGGAGAAGGAGGGGGCTGAGGGGCATAGCAAGGACAGCCTACTGTCACTTGTGAATTATGCTCTCAGTTTTGCAGAGATCCAGTCTCTTCTTGCTTATGAGGCTAGTGGAGTGGGTGGCTAGCGTCATCAGAAGATGTTCAGCTGGTTGGCTTTGGCTCCCGGGCCAAGAGCACCTGGAAGGAGATATGGGATAGCAGGGCTGATGGCTACGCAGACTTCATCATGGGGAAGAGATGCATCCCAGGGACACGTACAGGATGTACAGGCTGCAGCAGTACCTAAAGAAGAGGTAGCAATCTGCTACTGCTCCCACACCTGGAGTGCATGCCTCAAGGATCCCAGCTGTAACTGACTTTAACCTATCATTCTGAATTTGTTCTCTTTATGTTGTTGTTTTACCTTTACACGTTGTTATATAGGTTTAGCGTAATTACGCGGGACTGTTGTTCTGAAGTCCGCTATTATTGAGGTACGTTAGAAGGAAGCACGTTTTCCCATATCCAGTTCGCTTGCTAACGGATCCAGCTTGTGGGCTCATCATCTAAGCACAAAGGAGTAAAAGGGTTAAGAAAAAGGTTAAATCCCTTCCGTAAGCAGCCAAAGAGGTACGTGTGTTCATTAACTTTAGTAGAGTTTTGTTTAAGTTGTATTTACCCATGTAAATGCTAACAAAAGTTCGCGTTAGCTTAGCAGATTCATATACAGTTCTCTTTACTGTTATTTTATGTTTATATTTCATTTGTATTTAGTTCTCACGTGCGCCATTGATGGTGACAATGACGAAGGTGATCCTGCTTAGTGAATAAACCATCGATCAGTGAAAATTAAAGAACTCTTGTGCTCGTGTCTTACTGGAGGGAGCTACAGTGAGAACTCGACGGCTCGTCGCGAGTGGACGAGAAAGAAGACCGCAGCCAGGGCTAACTCAGCTGCAAGTGATCTACAGGTTTCATTAGACGCTGTCATCTGCTGATATTTTTGTGCCTTTATAAGACATGCTGGTATTATGTACTTACGTTTTTTTGTGTCCAATTTGTTGCTGGTGTGGTATAGGTATTACTAAGGAATTCAAAGAGTAAGCACAGCTATAAACAAGTTTCATTATAGTAACAGTAGTCTGCCCAAGTGATTATTCTTTAAGGGTGTTTTTTGAATTTTGCTTTAAAATGAATGTTTTTCATTTAAGTTCATACAGTAAATTATTTATTAATCAAGCAAATTTATTAAGTTAAACCAAACCAAATGTCAGATACGGGCTGACCTCCCATCTCCCAGCTTCTTCCAACTCCACCCATTTTTCATTTGGAAGCCCAAGAGCGTCCTCATGGTCAGGTTGAGGAACAACTACAGCCTACCATGTCTCCAAGGCTGTCCTAATCCGCTGATAGTTTCTGCTGGTGTGGGCAGGCCTCAGGTGGTTGTTGGCACCGGTGGACAGTATTATATCTTGTCCTCACGACTGTCCTGCAAGGCCTGTCGGAGAAACTGGTTTGCTGACAGTCCACGATGGCTGGAGAAGCTGCCCAAAGGGTTTACAAACATTCTGCCTGCATTCCTTACTTGTAAGAAGGCCATCTGCAAGTCTGTGATGGACGAGCTGAGGCAGACGGGAAAGTCACCAACGGATATGGCAAACCAGGTGAATGAGCTCATGCACCTGAAGTATAAGCGAGCTCACCTGGCATACCTGCATGCCATAGAGAGCGTCAGGGATGCTGAGGACAGTGTGTATGGGCAGAGGACTATTTGGCAGTTCCTGAGGAAGGAAAATACGCCACATCCATTTGGGCCATATGAAAATCCAGATGGCTGGGGTGGAGTTTCAGTGTCTGGTTTCTACCTGACTGACTGCCTGCTAGAGGAGTTGACGTCAAGAGCCAGCCATATCCAAACTGCTCCAGGGTACTTTTGGCCAGGTCTTCAGATCTGACCACACCAGGAAGGTTGCTCAAAAAGTAACACTGGCATCTGGGGTTATGTCCAGTTATGCCATCATGAATGAAAACTGGATGATTGTTTCCTGGGTGATGGTTCAGTCTGGGACTGAGAGGTCCTTGGTGCCGATGTAGGTACAGTGATGCTGGAGTGGAAAAGGCAGGCTACCACTGGATGGACAGGTAAGAGCAGCCATTTTCTCATTTTACTGCCATTCAGCCTTGCCAAAATGATGTCTAAACAAACAAAATCAGTTTCTTTGTGCCTTGCATTTAGGGATTGCCATGCTCCATTTAGGATCCCGGACTGCATTCCTGGTGAACATCTACACTGGGATGCATGGAGGAGTACCCCTTCGATTGTTGCTGGGGCCACTTCTGGGCCACTGGAGAACACTTGTGCCTCACAGTCATATTACAATTCCAATATCATTGTGAAGCTGGACTTGTTCCACTGCCTGAGCCGTTTTTCACAGGAGTACACCTCCGAGAATCGCCCTCTGTTTAGCACTTTCTGCAGCTCCTCTCTGCTGCCTTCTCTGTGGTGGATCAGGAGGACCGAAAGAAGCTGCAGGACACCTATGAGTTCTGTGGTATCAGTCCTGCCAAATCCACAAAACAACACGTACAGGAGCACCGCAGGACCAAAATACCACAACCCACAGAGCTGCTGGACAGAGTAGAGAAAGTTTTGAAGCATTTTCACCTGGCCACGGACCTCAACAACGTCCCACTATTCAAGCCATCCATGCTGAAGACGTGGTGCATTCAGAGAGTGCACATTCTCTGCAGTTGCCTCAGTGATCCCAAATTCTCAGTTGAACTATGCACCTGATGAAGACGCCAAAGTCCCCATTTGGATCCCTGTCAGGGGTACCTCACAACAGGAGGGGTACCACTTCTACCAGGCCCAGTGGATCACCGGTACTCATGTCTCCATTGAATTGTTCCAGGCCCAGGGCATGACAGGAGTGGCACGGTGGAACTACCAACGGCTGGTGGACCTTAAGCAACCAGGTGTCATCCTCCCTGCTGTCTTCGATCCAGTTTTAATGACTGAGTTGAACTCAGCCTCCCAGAGAGTCACCGGGAAGGAGAAGTATCCCGCACTTCACCTCTCTGATAAAGACACTGGAGAGAAGTTTGGCTGCCACCCAGTCCCTCTGGATTGGGACAAACACAGAACCCAAAAGAGAGATGAACCAGCTGCTTCCATGCCTCCATCCCCTATGCAGACACCTGCTCCTGCCCAAGCTCCAAACCCGGCATCCTCGGCATCCCCTGGACCAACACCATCTATCAGCCATCTACTTTCTGCTGGTGTGCTGCTGAAGCAGGAGATGCTGTCTGAAGATACCCAGGAACCTCCGGCAGCAATGGGTAAGTTAACATCATTCTTTGGACATTCAGTTTTGTGTTATATTGTAATAACATGATCAATTGAGGAACTATTATTACTTTATTGTGTTGCAGAAACCTCACATGCCTTGCCCCTGCCACTCAGATCCTCACCAAGGAGGTTTTGCATTGGACCACACAAGCTGGACACCACCCATGAAAGAAGCTATTGAGTGCTTGCTGCAGAACTACCATGGGCAGAAGGACATCCTGAAGCCGCAGATCCCAACAGCTTGCTGCACCCCACAACCAGACTACATATATCCCACTATGTGAAGTATCTGGCAAAACTTCTTAATACTAGTTCTTCTTTGAACACAAGCCAGGAAAAACTTTTGGAGACCTAGCAGCTATGGCACTCTTTAACAGAAGGGAGCAGGACAGCTAGTGTTCCTATGGTCACCATGGAGCGGGCTATTGTCAACCCACCTGTACCTGCCCTGTCCACACCTCTGACACAAGACTCTATCGAGAAAATTGTGGAGGGCATCTTCAACAAGCAGCAGCAGCTTCAGCAGCACCAGTCAGAACAGAAGAGAAGGCAGACAAAGACCTGTCTTGCCTGTGGACAGCCCAAGTCTGGATATGAGACTGATGGATCCTCCATCCACTTTTTCTATCAACAAGGGCCAGTGTAGTATTTTTTTTTCTCATTACAAAAAAGATCACAAAATACAAATACAGAAGAGAGGAGAGAATAAAAAGAAAGAAAAAAGGAAAAACCAAACCTCAACCTTTGAACAGTCTGGATTGATAGCTACTACATATTTATCCTGTGATATATCAGTATTTCTTCATCTTCATCTTGTCGCCGAGAACATAAACACAGTAAATTTTTTCAGACCTTGAATTCTTATTTTCTGAGTTAATTGCTCCATGGTATATATTCCATCCACTATTTCAAACCATTCATCTTGCGTTGGTGGGTCTGGCTTATACCATCTCTTTGTAATAGCCTTTTTTACTGGCTCCTAATAGTATTTTTAACAAATATCTATCATCTCCTGACATACCGCCAAAATACATCACGATCTAGGTATATCATATCCCAATACTTTAACAATAGTCGAGTGGACATTCTCCCAGAACTGTACAATAGCAGGACAGAGCCAAAAAACATGAGAATGGTTTACATTTATTACTCCACATTGTCTCCCATGGTTGTGCTACCTGTAGAATTTTACTCCTAAGTTTGGGGGTGATAAAAAAAAAAATGGGTCCGTATGGCTTGCGCTTCTCCATAATGTCAGCAGCATAATCGTTAGCAAAGTAAAGCCACTTGCCCTCAATTTCAATCTTCCGCTGCCGGGATTTCCTTAGGACCAACTCTTTACCGTGGAACTGTAAGAAGTGTTTGCGCTTCAATAATACCAGTCTTGACTCTGCAGTTCCCGTAAAACTTCGTCTCTAAACTGAACGAGATCGTCCTTCATTGTTTTCCTGACATAGTTTTTAAATTCGCTCAGGTCCCTTCTCAAATCTTGTTTAAAGTCTTTCAGCTCATTATAAAGTAGCGTTAGAGTAATGCGTTATTATTAACGCTGGCTTCTGCGCCATCTTTATTTGACGCTGTTTCCTCACCATTCCCGTGTTCAGCATTAGCCATGTCCGAGTTTTCTTGAGTTTTATTCATAGTTTAATCGTTCTTGTAACTCCTTTATGCTTTCCCCCTTTCGTTCCCGAGTTTAGATGATTTCAAAACGATTTATATTTATAGAGGGTACTTTACCAAAACCGACTCTGAGGAGCTCGCCTCTACACGTCCATCTTGCTGCAGCACCACCCGGAAGTCCCCGTGCGCTACTAATACTGCTCAAAGAAGGTGTATCAAAGTAGTGCTACTGAGGGGCTCTCTAACCCCAAAATGGCCTTTGAGAAATTTGCAACGACAGAATTTTTCCAGAGGGAGCTGGAGGCTAACAAGAAACAGGTGGAGAAAATGGACAAAAAGAGGAAAAGGCCAGACTCACGAGAAGCAGGCCGCATTTGCAGATTATGCCGCATGAACCTGAAACAGGGCCCAAACAGCTCTTTATACCGAGATAAGGGCATGGCCGAGGAGATGACTGGAGGGAGTCTCCGGTGTCTCTGTTCTATGAGGCAGAGAGACAAAGATGGGTAAACTTAATCATTTTAATGTTATATCTGAATGCTGGCCTTAAATGTTCCATGTTATTTCGATAAGGGCTCTCTTTATGAGTATAGTCCATGTTTTTACGTTTGTGTAAAACAAACAAATCCATAAAAATGCTATATATTTGTATAGAGGTACTTTCATCTTCAAGATCTTCCTGTTTGATATATTTTGCTTGTTATACATGTGACTGTTTGTTTTATGTTATATTGGTGTGATTAAGACTATGTTACACTGACCTTGACATTGACTTTGACAAATAAGGGAACACCTGAAAATTCAGTACACTTCTAGTGAGTTGCTGGCAATATTGTTTAGTAATTTAATATGTACAAAGTAGCAGCATTCATCCAACAGGTTTGGTATAAACTACAAAATCTAATTTTAAATTTACAGTTGCAATTAATTTTCAATGTTTTCCACTCATATCTCACATTTGATAATGTTTATAAATTAAGCAGTACATCAACAGTCCTTTTAGATTTTAATGATAAACAAACAAGGGAATAAAATTAATAAACTGGTAGTAAGTTGCTGGCAATCTGGTGTAATAATTTACCATGTTCGGAGTAGCAGTATTCGTCCAATAAATATGGCATAAAATACTTTTAAATTTATGACTAATTAATCTTGTTTGCAATACTTTTCACTCAGGTATCTCATATTTTATAATACCTCAAGGCGGATTCGAACCGATTCTCTCGTGGAATTTGAACAGCACAGATGAAGCAAAAAAGGCTTCTCTCTGATTGGCTGGTTTTCTGTTACAGCTATTCGCAACGGGCGCGAACCCGGGCGCGGAGAGTAGTTTAGCTAAACGGCCCTAAACAATTTCCCATTCATTCCCTATGGTACTGCTAAAGCACTACGGATGTAATACATTTTTGGCCACTACGATATTGTAGCGCTACGCCATTGTGGGGCTACTTTCTAAAGACGCGCAGTCTCTGGAAGCTTTTATTGTAAGAGATATACTAGTTAAACTACGGGATAAATTTACATTTATCTCGTAAGGTGTTTTTAAAAGAGCTCAGGTTATTGTTCGCTGCTAATTCGCTTGTTTCGTGTGAATGAACTCACTGGCTTTTCTCTCTCGCTTGGTCCGGGTTCGATTCCTGGCCAATGTCACTCTTTTTGTGGATTAGGAGCCGGTGCTTTTTCATAATGTTTTTCCCCCAAACTTTACTTATACTGCGGTGCTTCTCAGTCGCCCGCAGAGCGCGATTGTCTGTATTGCAGTATGCCCTAGCTACGATCGACTGGCATCCCCCCATGATGCTCCCTTCATGGAGGTACAATGACATATATGTTTAGCTAAGAAAATCACGAAATACTCCAGTCTAGGTTATTTACAAGTGTTTTTCACTTTGACTTATCGACAAATGGATATGCTATGTTATTATGGTGTTTGCCTCCTATTATTAGCTAAGTAGTGTTTATGTGCAGCAGTGAAGAAAACAATAGTAGCCTACCGTCACTACTGCACCGGATAGTGATTCGAATTTTTTCTTTTTTTAAAACTTAGTTTAGTGCTTGGTCTGTTCAGTGACACGCATCGCCTTTTCAGTGTTTTTCAGATATAAACGTTTAATTCGGTGAAGCAGAATACAAACTGCAGCGATATCATGCGTTTAAACACACGTCGAACAGTTAAAGCCGATGACATAGGAGATAGGAGGACGGGCTGCCTTTATCGTACAGGCAGCGAGTAGAAGCAAAGTGAATAATGAAATGTGGCACCTTGTTTTTCTACGGGACACATAAAAGGCCACAAACAGGAAAGAGCGAGGATTGGGTTAAAGCGGTTGGTGGTGTTGATGGCCTTACTGCAGTGCAAGCATTCGGAGAGAGCACTGACTGTTAATCCACGGAAAAAGGGATGCATTGGCCGGGAATCGAACCCGGGCCTCCCGCGTGGCAGGCGAGAATTCTACCACTGAACCACCAATGCAAGCGATAGGGGGCGCATTTAGCGAAAGCGTCCTAAACCGTTTCCCATTCGTTCTCTATGGTAGTGCTAAACCACTGCGGATGTAATAGATTTTTCGCCACTTCGACTTTGTGGCGCTGTGCCGATATTCGAAAGACACGCAGTTTCTTAAAACTTTTATTCTAGGGACAAAATTCTGTGAAGACAGGACGAGTGACCAGCTTGCAGCCATGTCACTTGTTTGTTGAGAGATAATGACCGACTTTTGTCTGTCATACTTGTTTGCTGTAATTACGTGCTAAGTAATGAATTAACATGACCGTTATTTGATCAGGTGTGTGGTTACTGAAAGTAATTTTGTGTCACCAATAAGGTAGCATCGCTAACTTGGTAAGAGGCTGATCCCGGCCGGCGATCCCCCAGGCAGACACACGGCCCCCCTTTTGATCAGGTTTTCTTGTTTTTAAAGGGAAGTTTATCCTTGTTGATGAGTGATTGCTTGTCATTTTCATTTAGTAAGCAGTTATATTGGAATACTGTGCGTAAAAGTTCCATATTATTTCTGAAACACTTATCTTAAATTACAGTCCACGTTATTACATTTCTGTAAATACTGAGACGTAAAATTCTATTCTAAAATTCTAAATGTTTGTATAGATTGTTCATGACACATTACTTTCATCCTCAGAACCTGACTGTTTGATTAGACTGATGATTTTTATTTGGGTCTGTCTGTCAGAGGTCAGTGTCAAAAGTCATTTCAAGAAATGCATCCTGGGATCCTCATGTTTTGAATAATTTGTCCCACATTTTTAACAGTGTTGTCATGTCTGCAGTGATGACTGTGACCTTGGTGCATGTCTGAAATATTGTCATGTTTTGCTAGTAAACTTCATTTTTTTGTAGTACAGTTTTTCCTGTTTCTTAACCGCTTAATGCTGTTGGTAATTTAGGACTTACTCTTTGTCTATGAAACCATGTCATGTAAAATTGACATTTAATTTAAATATTACACGCTGCTTTTTTACTGGTTAAAAAAACTTGATATAGCAGATTCTTTTCTACACACGGCTGCTTTTTTGCAACTTAATTATGTCATCTAACACGATAGGTTTTGTGTCATAAGAATATTCCAATATGCTGGTTGAGATTATTTAAGTGGTACGTCAATAATCCTTGTGGGGGATATCAATGATAATTAAACAAACTTTGACAAACAAGGGAATACCTGAAAAATCAGTACACTTCTAGTGAGTTACTGGCAATATAGTGTAGTAATTTACCATCTTCAAAGTAGAAGCATTCATCTAATAAATTTCGTATAACATACAAAATCTAATTTTAAATTGAAAGTTAATTGCAACTGTAAAAGTTTTCACATATCTCACATTTAATGATATCTCACATTTGATCATTTTGATCATTTACGCAGTACATCAACAGTCCTTTGTAAGATATTATTAGATAATTAAGCACACTGACAAACAAGGGAATACCCGAAAAAAATTAGTAAACTTGTGGCAAGTTACTGGTAATCTGGTGTAGTAATTTATTATGTTCAGAGTAGCAGCATTCATCCAATAAATCTGGTATGAAGTACTTTTAAATTTACGACTAATTAATTTTATTTAATTAGCAATACTTTCCAGTCACATATCTCATATTGTATAATACCTCAAGGCGGATTCGAACCGATTCTCTCGTGGAATTTGAACAGCACAGATGAAGCAAAAAAGGCTTCTCTCTGATTGGCTGGTTTTCTGTTACAGCTATTCGCAACGGGCGCGAGAAGAAGTTTAGCTGAACGGCCCTAAACAGTTTCCCATTCATTCCCTATGGTAGTGCTAAAGCACTACGGATGTAATATATTTTTGGCCACTACGACATTGTAGCGCTATGCCATTGTGGCGCTACTTTCTAAAGACGCGCAGTCTCTGGAAACTTTTATTCTAAGCGATATACTCTGTGGAGTCAAGCTACGATCGACTGGCATCCCCCCATGATGCTGCCTTCATAGAGGTACAATGGCATATTTGTTTATTTGTTTAGGTAGCGAGTAGAAGCAAAGTGAATAATGAAATGTTGCACCTTGTTTTTCTATGGGACAGATAAAAGGCCACAAACAAGAAAGAGCGAAGGTTGGGTTAAAGCGGTTGGTGGTGTTGATGGCCTTACTGCAGTGCAAGCATTCGGAGAGAGCACCGACTGTTAATCCACGGAAAAAGGGATGCATTGGCCGGGAATCGAACCCGGGCCTCCCGCGTGGCAGGCGAGAATTCTACCACTGAACCACCAATGCAAGCGATAGAGGGCGCTTTTAGCGAAAGGGTCCTAAACCGTTTCCCATTCGTTCTCTATGGTAGTGCTAAACCACTACGGATGTAATAGATTTTTCGCCACTTCGACTTTGTGGCGCTGTTCCGACATTCGCATATGGTAACATTAAAGATCGCAACTGTATCACTTGTTTGATGAGAGATAACTGACCGACTTTTGTCTCTTATACATGTTAGCTTTAATGAATTAAAATATAATAATAGTGAATTAACATAACCGTTATTTAATAATGCGTGTGGTTTTTATTTTGTTATATGATATAATCTTATACTGACAGTAATTTTGTGTCACCAATATGCTAGCATCGCTCACTTTGTAAGAGACTGACGCTAGGTTTGTGGCATAGCTTGTGTGTCTATATCACCAGGGGCATGTGATCCAGTAGCATATATCACCAGGGGCATGTGAATCCTGGGGTCTACATGACTGTGAAAACGCCAGTCCTGAAAATGCAAATGTTTATAATGACTATAGGTCAGCACATAGAAATTACCATTGGCATTTGTGATGGTACAGCAGAGGTGTAGTCTTTATTTTTTAGTAGGATATATATACTGATACATATGCAAATATGATGACAGTGATATATGACATTATACATCCATGTTTTCTATGTCCAATCATGACTAATACTGTCTTATACTATCTTATGAGAAATGGACCCATAATATTGGTTATAGTTCTTCAAGAACTCAGTTCTATATATTTATTAATGTACATTTTATAGTATGTGCCTTTATTTACAGTTTTTACAAAGAAGTAAACAATATGTAGATTTGCATTTTGCTAAAGAAATATGAATAATGGAATGCAGCCACACATGACGACCTGTCGGAGCATCTATACTGCAGGGCCCCAGCTTAGAGTGGCTGTAAAAACACAAACAAAGTTACAAACAAAGGTTTACTTTGGCCTAAACAAGGCTAAACAACAAGGTTAGCACTGCATTATCCAGTGTTTCTGAATCTACATTTGGCTGCAGACAAGATTTTTAGGAAGTGAAATCCTTAGGAAGGAAATGTATTTTTGGTAAAGGTGTCATTGCTACATGGATAAATGTACGTTCATCTCACACAGAAATGTATTATATCATGAGATTCACCTTTTAAAAAAACATAACTGAAATTAAATTATGAAGTCATCCTAAATGCTGATAATTTAATTATGTGCAGATACAATATGCAATAATGCATTCTGAATATCACAGAAGATTTAGTGAAACAATCGGTCAAGTTATGCATAGAGGACAGAGAAGGTTATCAAAAACATCCAGCAGTGGACCAGTGACAACATTGCAACGCTGCAAGGATGTTTTGAAACCACAGACTGGGAAAACCTCCTTTCCATCTCCAGTAACATCAACGAGCAGGTGGACACAGTGTCCTCATACATCACCTTCTGTGTGGACAGTATCATCCCTACCAAGAAGATTACCATCTTCCCAAACAATAAGCCCTGGATTACTAAAGAACTAAAAGAAATCCTAAATAAAAAGAAGAGGACATTCTTCACCGGCACTGAGGCTGAGGAGAAGGAGGTAAACAGAGAGGTTAAGTGCGCCATAAAGAATGCCAAGCTGAGGTACAAAAACAAGGTGGAGGAGAAATTCACACAAGGAAGCCTCCACTCAGCTTGGCAGGGGATAAAGAACATGGCCGCTGTGAACACCGTGTCCACCATCCACAGGTACATCCAGGTGGCAGGTCATCAGCCCTCCCCAACAACCTCAACTCCTTCTTCACTAGGTTCGAGACTGACAACACCTCCCGTCTCAAAGACATGGTCTCCTCCCTCACGCCCGCAGGAACAGAACTTTCCTTCAACACGAAGGAGGTGGTGAGAGCCCTCAGAAGGACCAAGGTGAGCACAGCACCCGGCCCAGACATCATCAGTAGCAGCATCCTGCAGTGCTGTGCAGAGCAGTTGGGGGCGTGTTTCAGTGGCTGTTTCAGAGATCAGTGGACAGCAGCACAGTCCCCCAGCTGTGGAAACACTCCACTGTGGTCCCCACTCCGGAAAAGTCCTCAGTTAAGGAACTGAATGATCTCCTACCTCACTTGCAATGAAGGCCATGGAGAGGGTCATTAAGGATCATATCATCAAGGTGACCGACCCACTCATGGACCCTCTCCAGTTCACATGCCGGGCAGGCAGGGGGGTTGACGATGTGAAAATGTTCATCATGGACCAAGTACACAAGCATCTGGAACTCCCCAACACCTCAGCTAGACTCCTGTTTGCAGATTCCTCATCTGCATTCAACACTTTGCAACCACAAATCCTGGCAGAGAAACTCTCCACCCGCTTCCACCTGGATGACCAGCTCACTCTGCGGATCATCAACTTTCTGACCAACAGGACACAGAGAGTGCTGGTCAACAACACCTTCTCTGACCTCTCCATCACTTCTACTGGCTCCCCCCAAGGCTGCGTCCTGTCACCTCTTCTATTCATCCTGTACAACGATGACCGCAGGTCCTCCCACCCAGACTGTCATCCAGTGAAGTACGCGGATGATGCGGTTCTCCTGTCTCTACTCTCTGGCTCCTCACATCAGCACAGCTCAGTGCTCTGTGAGCTGGTGCAGTGGTGTGACAATGCCTCCCTGGAGCTAAACGTGGAGAAGACCAAGGACATGGTGGTGACCCCACATCCATGGGCAGACAGTGGAGGTGGTGGAGGAGTACAAATATCTGGGCACTATCTTCGGTTGCACCCTAAAGTTTGCCTCCAACACCGAGGACATTCTAAGGAGATGTCAGCAGCGGCAATATCTCCTAAGGAAGCTCAACAGCTTTGGGGTCAACAAGGTCATACTCAGAACCTTTTACTACTCCTTCATTGAGAGTGTCCTCTGTTTCTCCATCACCTGCTGGTATCATTCCACCAGCCTGCAGCACCAGGACCCGTCTGCCAACACAGTGAAAGTCTGCTCTAAGATCATCGGCCTTCCAGTCAGAGCACTTTCATCCCTTTGGGAGCAGCAAACTCTAAGACTTGAGCCCCCCCCATGCCCACTAACAATCCCTCCCTTTAAATATTTATTCAGTTCTTATCTACCTGAATGACTGCAATTTTTCACAGCATCTTCCAAATACTGTTGCACTTTATATCATGGTGTCCTTGTTCAACTGCCCTGTGTGCCTTTAATTGCCCCTCGGGAACAAAGTTATTTTGAATTTGAATTTAATTGAATAGGAGTCCTTGATAAACCAGGTCCTGGCAGACCTCAATGATACATTACGCACTAGCTATACTTTGCCATGGCTCCTTGGACTGCATCAGTGTTTCTTAACCCCGTCCTCAGGGACCCCCAGACAGTCCATGTTTTTGCTCAAAAATATAGACTGTCTGGGAGGGAGCAAAAAGGTGGACCGTCTGACAGGGAGCTGGGAGGGAGCGAAAAGGTGGGCCGTCTGGCAGGGAGCTGGGAGGGAGCAAAAAGGTGGACCGTCTGGCAGGAAGCTGGGAGGGAGCAAAAAGGTGGAGCGTCTGGCAGGGAGCTGGGAGGGAGCAAAAAGGTGGAGCGTCTGGCAGGGAGCTGGGAGGGAGCAAAAAGGTGGACCGTCTAGGGGTCCCCGAGGGCCAGCTTGAATAACCCTGGACTATATGCACATATTACATTGACCTACCACTGGGAGCCGACTGAGAAGCTCATCTACAGCCATTTCATCCAAGCTGTCTTGGAAAGAAGGCTCACTTCTAGTGGATTCCTCTTGGAAGTTCGCAAGGTCATCTTGGCTGCTAGAGAGAATCAAATAAAGTTATTCATGAAAAGAGTAAACATCTCTTGAAACTGATTAATCTAGATTTTTATTAATACATGAATGAAATAAACATTAAAAATAAATATTGCTTTTGTTAGCAGTTTAGTACCATTCATAGATAACACACAAAAGTTCCATTATAGCAAAGACTGAAATACCTGCTTCGTCATAACAGTGAACGTGACAGAGGGACTGGAGGATGGAATGGAATGATCCAATTTATTGATACCCACAGAATAGTAGGAGACCCAAGCAACTCAAAAATGCACAATACTGTGAACCGTTGGAGATCAAGCACACATAGAAAACTACTTCTTTCAATACTAGTGAATCGGATGCCCCCCCCCAACACACACACACACACAATGGTAATGGCATGATTTAGAACTAATAAGCTGACAGTGATCTGCTGACACATAGTGGTAACTTGGGTAAGATTGAACATTTTTAGGTATGATAGATCTGTAGATACTATTATTTACTAATTGCTTATAATGGTCATACCTCCGTTTTCCTGCCAAAACGGAGTCCAGGTATTTCTTCACTGCCATCTGTTTCCGGAATCGGCTGAAGTTGTCAGTGAAAACAGCGTCTGAATGACGCTTCACTGGTGATTCATCTTCCAATAAGTCATCACTAAGAATGAGGAAAAAGACTATTATCGGCTTTTATATTTGTGCATATTTTAAGTGGACGTTCAAATATCAAATTTTAATTTAAGTTCAGTGAAACCTCATTGGTCCACATGGAGAAATTCTTTGACATGCAGACGTGTTAGGAGGCATGGGGAAGCTCAGCAGCCACCTGCTGCAGCATCCATGGAGTTTGGGGTTAAGGGCCTTTCTGATGGACCCATGGACATTATTCTGCAGAAGTCAGGCTCAAACCGGCAATTTTCTGATCACAGGCAAAGAGACTTAGCCTGTTAAGCCACACGCTGCCCCAACAATCCAACTTTATTTATCAAATGCACAGCAGTACAGTAAACGGGAGCGGATATGGCCAATTAAATGAATTCCCTGACTGCTCCCTGTCGTAGAGCAAAGTGGGAACCCAGAAAAGCTTTACCTGATGCGCTTTCCAATCAGAGATTCGAGGTACCGTCTGGCTGACAGCTGTCCAAGAAGTTTGCTGTAGCCACTTGTAAATAAGCCATCTGCATGCCTTGTGGGTCTACAAACATATTAAACTGGCATTTATCAGTAACATGGAACAGTAACTTTGCTCCTCATCAAACCCTTGGAAGTTATATATTCTACATCTTCTACATATTTTCTATATCTGCCTGATAGGACCTACTTCTGCCTGCAGAACCACTTCAAGGGTAGGTGAGCTGTGTGTTCAGAGAAGCCTCTTTGCAACCATTGTGGTACTGAGCTCTTATTTTTGCATGTGTGGCCTTCCTGTTAGTTTTAACGAGTCTGGCCGTCCTCTAACCTCCCTCATTAACAAGGTGTTCTCAGCAGCAGGAATGTCATTGACTGGAGCTTTATTGTTCCATTATTTGTAAACTACTGGTAATCTGCAAGTGACTCCTGCAGGGTGGATGTTTCTGAGATGCTGGATTCTCGACATCTGGCACCAACATTCACATCACGGTCGATCTGGCGTCTAATCAGGCAGCTGTTCTGAAGCTTAGCGGAACGGTAACTGGATTTCTTGACCCCTATGTGGCGTACATATGTCTCAGGTAGGTCTTTATTAAACATAATATACATAGAGATTTTTTTTATATACTGTCTTCATTTATATATCGTCTTCACTGTGTTCCTGCATGTCTAGTTGAGTATCGTCTGTTTTTTCTTTATCTGCTGTACTATTGTTCCTTGTACCTGGTGTGCTTGAACAAATACACATTATGATGCATTTGCAAAAGTGTCAGTTAAAGTGTAAAAATGCAGTAGACACCTTTTAACTTAAAGAACTTTGTGTTATGTCAGTGGTAATTGCGAGAGACTCGGTCCTCCTTACCTTATGGAGGAATACGCTCCTACTGCCGGCAGACTCACCGCCCCTGAGCACAGCGCACCCCACAGGAGCAGCGAAACCATAAGGTGGGCGCTGGTACAGGCTGGCATACCTTCCAGTATAGATCTATCAAAATCAGGAAAGCGACTTCTTAATAAATGCATAAAAACTAATAAATACACTCTGCAAATAATAAATAATAAATACCGTTATCAGTGGCTTTATAACAATCTGACGATAAATCTAAAACGTAAATAATGTGTACATAAAAACATCAAACCATTGTTCAGTGTGTGTAAACCTGAAATAAAAGTGCAACTATCAGTATAGATTACAGACTGAAAATAGTGAGATGTCATATTTGAACAAGGAGATTTGATTGCTGCATCTTTTCAATACTTTACAGAATTGTGGTTATATGGTAAACTGATAAAAAGAATAAAAACCAGTAGCTCAAAACACAATAATACACACAGTAATAATACTAGAATAAAACAAGGATTGCCGACGTAGAGAGTGCAGCGTGTAGAGACATAGGGTTTTAATACTTGCACTCCCTCTAATTTAACGAAAATGGTAATTGCTTTACTGTATGAGAAAATTTTACATTTAAAGTAAATAACCAAGATAACTTACGAATGCTTCCGTAGATATCCCAAAAGCGTATTGGACAGGACCGTTTACTGTCTCGGACTCTCCCACGGAGACTCAACTCCTGGCCTTTTTTTTGTAGACTTCTTAGACTTACTTAACATCCGTCTCCCCTCTTCTCCATTTTATACATCCGAATGCATTTCACCTCACAGGAAAGCAGTATGATTTCATTAGCATCTACACGTCATTTCAGGTCCCACTGGACGAAACGTGTTCGTCAGTTACTTGTTTTCTGAAACTGTTCTGGTGGTTCAATATCTAATACAGAAATTATGTTGATTTTCACTGACTCACCTAGGGCGTATAACTGCTTTCTAATAATTATTCTGGAACGAAATGGATGAATATAACTTGAACTTTTTACCCCCTGTAGGGCACGGCATATTAACTATACTATATGGTAATATGGTTTAAATGCGCATTGCAAGATCGTTCCTATCCAGTTTGTAAAAGATCATCCACAAATTACACTTCCACGGAAATAGCGTAAACCGAAGTTATCTACGTTTAAATGAACGCATTAAACCGATTTACGCGTGATTTAAATTTTACAAAATGTCTTTTACAAATTTGTAATATTTATAATAATGTTACGAATTACTTTACTTTGTGGCGTGTATTTGAAGAATTTAAGAAATACATTCTCCACAGTTGTACTACTTCCGAAGTACTTGTTTCAAGGGGGATTCATATATTTATATACCTTTAATGGACAATATATTGTGCAACCTGCAGGGTCTGGATGAATTTTGGTATATGCACTGTCAGAGAAAAGGATACAGCCAAGGCACATACGACATTAGTGTACCTCCAATGGTATAAAATGTTCCTCAGAGTCAATTTATGTACCTTAAAAGTGCACTGAGTAGCATTCAGATTACAGGATGTTTTTGAGCCTAGTCTACACTTATCTACAGCTAAGGTACAATTGGCAGACCCTTGAGAGTACAGCCCTATTGAGATGTAACTTGTATCTTCAAAGGTACAATTTGGTACTTTTTTTCAGACAGGAATGGCTTTTTTTTCTTAATAGATAAGCCACTGATTCACACATTCGAGAACTGAGGAATGTAGTCCTTTTTAAGGTCCAAAATGCGATTGGAAAGAACAGTGCAAAACACTACATATTTAAAGGGATATGTGTTTTGTACTTTGTAAATTCAAGAAAATATCTTTACAGAAGAAGAGGATTGTCAGCTTGTTCTTGTAACTTTTAAATATCAGAATAACTTAAACATGATATGCAACTCAAACTTTATCCAGACAGAAATCCACAAGGATTCACTAAAATTACAGAATCATTGAAATCTAAAACCCTGTGTGAGCTGGAGCAAATGTAACAATGACATGTTTCAGTTCTGTCATACGCTGATCTTACAGTAAAGCTAATTAGCATTATTAGCATTTCTTTACCTACGAGAGCCAAGTTCAAAGGTTGGTTTTAGGCTGTCATGTTCTACATGTAAATTTGCTTGGTCAGTCACTCATAATCTTCCTATTCATTTGAATGGTACTGTTGTAGATTTGAAAAAAAAAAGATTATTTTATATGTCTTTTTCACACATTTATCCATCTGTTCATTCATTCATTCATTTCCGCATCTATATTTAGCCCATAGTGATTATGTGCCCAGTGATTTAGCCCAGCATTGTATCTTATTCTGCCTGGGACAGGCTAGAGGTTACCCAGGCCTGATGGCTGGATGGATAACAGGAGATGTTACTGCGTTGTTACTATGGTAAAGATGGAGGGATTATTAGGCAGCTACAGATATGATGGTAGGGATCAGTGATGTGCAGATTAATAACAGAATGATGATTCTTTTTGATATGAATGTTTTCATGTCTGGTAATTTAAATGTTCATATTATAGGGGACGGGACATGAAATTAACTATTTCCAGACAGGGTCACCTGTAAGGGGGACAAAGCGGAAGGAACTCAGACACCCGGGAAATGGAACAATCATTCAGGGTGAATAGTGATGTTTCAAGATTGGTGTCGCCGATACCAATACCAACCTAGATACCGTTCGAAAAAAAATCAGTGGTATTGCCCACTGAAATACAGAAGATGAGGAGACTCTTGAGCTGACTTTCGATTACCCGCATTACAATTGACTCAGATTAGCAAACACTTGATTAAAAGTTAGGCTAATGCAGAGGCATTACCCTGCATTAGATATCAACCAACTAAGCTAGAAGAGAAAATACAAGTGTTCAGTTCACATTGTTCTATAAATATTTGCCATGAATTAGGGCTTTATTACATGACTTAGAATTCCCCTGATTCATGAAGTGCTATTGAATTACCCCTCAGCAGCTTTGGTGAGCAAAGTTGTTGGCTGTCTTTATCACTGACATGGGGATAAATGAGTTATATCTACTGCTGAAGGGGATGGCATCCTCTGGTGAACTAAAGATGAAGGCTGGGACCAACATTCCTACCACAGGTGTCTTTTTCTAAAAGGTAGAGTCAAAGTCAAGCTATCACATTTTCCTATGTGACACATCTCTAGATCGGTGTCAGACTGAGACCCTCAATCTGTGACACACACAGAGCACTGGTTCACAGTATTGAATAGTGGGTGACTATTCTTACAAACAAAAATGTGTTTTGTGTTCCTTGCTAGAATTGCATTATAAATTATGGTATAAGTTATATTAACATTACATTACAAAAGGCTAGGATAAGACCAGGTCCTCAGCTGACAGGAACTCAATGGAGTGAATCTTTAAAAAAAAGATAATGCCTGATTTCCTTCCCTGATCTCAAATTCCACCGTAATGCAGAATAATTTTTCTCTCTGTATGAATGTCTGTTTCCTGTGTGACATTTCTTTAACCACAATTCGTTTGTCATGGCTTTGTGCAGCTAAATTTACAGGTATGCAACTATGTATACGCATTAATTTGACTATCATTTCAAAAATTGTCCACATTCGAGTATCATTATGATTTTAATAGTGGTCGCGCCACTATCCATTGAACTTAATGTTGTAAAGCGCTCACTGAATATATGGTATGCATCTTGTGGCACTACATGCATTCCCTCATGCATTCGCAAATTCACAGATCCGTGAAAATTTCATTCTACTATTTTCTATGAAATATTTTTAATGCATGTATGTATTTTTGTTCTCTCTCTTTTTCGTGGTTAACGCACACATAGTATTTTTACAACTTATTATTTCTGTACGTCTTTACGTAATTTTTAATTGATTGAATACCTGTACTCTGTACGCACAATACATGTTTCCTTTACGTATTTTATTGAATTGTACCTTGGCTTCTGTCAATAAGTTTACAGTCCCATTCGTTTACTCATTTTACCTTACTTTGAATGCAAAAGAAAATGGCAGCCAATGTCGTGTTCTATGAATTAGTAGGGGTAACATTAGTATACTGTACTGTAAATGTGCTAGTGTGACAAATATCCGTTAGGTGATACTGTACTCTATTTTTACATCAAACAATTGTTTTTTTAAAAGGTAATGTATTAAGCTAACTTTTAAATGAAATTGTTTTGGGAGCATGACTGGGGTCATATTTATGGTTTAAACTATAGAAATGAGCACATATTACCATTTTTAGTGACTCTACCAAACATCCTCGAATCCTCCTCATTCGCGACGGGTTCTGGAACCTAACCTCGCGAATGTTCGAGGTCTGACTGTATATTGGAAAAGAGGCTGTAAGATTCAGGAGGTATCCAGCTACTTAAAATATGATGACAGATTCATTCCAGTTGAAAGCATTGTTCAAATAATGTGTTTATAGTGCTTGCAGAGACTCCCACCTGTGCGTCAAGACCAGGATTAGGGACTACTGCTGTAAAAGTATGTGTATGTGTACAGAAATTTAAAAACTTTGCAAAAGTTAATAATCCTAATTAAGAATTAACCAGGGCAGCAGAAATACTAAAGTGACTCCAGTAACTCATTAGAAGACAGTATCACGCATCTAAAAGAATCAATTTGCAGCCATCCATTATCCAATATGTGTGTAATTTGCACTGGCTTCAACTTTTCAAACTTTAAGGCATGCACCATTCAGAAGTAATGCCTCAGCCTCACGTTCAAAGCTATTTCATGTCCAATCAGTGGTCATTCTGAGCTTGATTATGCCACTAATGTGATTAGAAGAAAAATTAAATGAATTATACACAAACCCCAGGGAATATGGTCCCATAATTGAGGGTAATGATTTAGAACAGAAGCCCGATGAAGAAGCCTGCATCCAGGAAATTCTTTTCTTATTTCAATGGAATAAGAAGGTATCACAGTTCCCTGTGGAAGGATTCATTCTGAGTCATTCGGTATGGAGAAATTTAGAATCGTTCATAACATTTCAGATTAATGCATGATGATTATTTGCATCCAGGTCAGACTCAAGCTTCTTTTGAAATAATTTATCTTGCCCATCACCAATGGCATTCTTTGTGTGTTGTGGCACATTTTGAAAATCAGATATTTATCTGCTACAATTGCCCTATAGTGCCAATGAGAGAACAAGTTAACAAGCGTTGGTGCGTTTCTGTAGAATAACTCCAAACAGGAACATTTTATGAAATCTTTGTAAGCAAATGAGGCCTCCTTTGGCCACATGATATGCCACAAAGGTGTGCGTTCACTGCTAAGGACATGTTTCAACAGAATGGTAACAGGGCTTGATGGTTAACACTACAGTGTTACACTGTATTAATGGTATTGATAATAACTGTGCAATATCTGTATACTGTGCAATATCATCGCTCTGTGTCCAACATCCACTACTCACTGCACATGATCATCATTACCTAAATAATGTGCAATAACCCACACTGCATATCACACTGTATATCCATATATTTCAAAAACCCTATTTAGTTATTTATTCTTCCATATGTATATAGCGCTGCAGAACTTTTTGCACTATTTGTTTATTGTTTGTTGTGTTCTACATGTTTGCACTGGAGGAGCTGCTCTTAATCTCATTATACATGTGTATAGTGACACTAAAAGGCATTCTTCTTCTTCTAATTCTTTCAGGGCTGGTGGCTGAAATCCTGCTCCTGGTTCTATGTGGAGTTTGAAGGTTTTCTGGTGTTTGCACGAGGTTCCTCTCGCTGTCTGAGAACATGCAATAAGTATTATTATGCT